GCATAGCGGATGGGAATGGAAACCTGCGCAGGAACTTTTTGTACGTAAAGTAGCCCCTAACTTTGTCCACACTAAGCCCATTTCCTTTCTCCCCAGTTTGCAAAGTGCTTGTTGAAATAAAGCCTCGCTTTTTGTCTTAAATTCTTTCCTCATGAATTTTGGTTCACAAAAGTGCATCCTCTCCCCCATGCTTCTGACAAGAGCATGACCATGATAGTTGGCTCCAACAATGTGTTCTGACCATTGAGGAAGGAACAAGGAGGTTCCAGAGTGCTGGAACTCTACACCTTTGACCCAACACTTTTATTGCCAGCTTCTGTTCTTCCTCAACTGAGAAGAGCAAACCTATGTTTGGTTAAGTCACTCTAATTTGGATTCTTGGTGCATCCATCCAAACACAAACGCAAATCCTAATGAGAACAGTTCACTTTATATCTCAACACCTCATTTTTATTATTATGGTTTAGAGATTTTGCTCTGTGTGTGTGTGTGTGTGTGTGTGTGTGTGTGTGTGTGGTATTGGGGATTGAACCCAGGGTCTTTACACTGAGCTACATCCCCAGACCTTTTTCTTTTTAGTTTCCTTCCAGACAAGCTTCCATTAAGTTTCCCAGGCTAAGCTAGAATTTATGATTCTGCATCAGCCTCCTAGAGGATTGGGAGTACAGGTGTGTAATTGTATCTGGTTTGCTTTACTTTTTTACAACTATTTTATTATTTATGTGTACCCAAATATGTGTTCAAAATTGTTTCTTACAACCCAGTTCCTCCTTCCTTTGGTATTTTTTGTTTTCCCTTACTGAGTATACCTACTTTTGTTTTTCTTTTTCTTTCTTTCTTTTTTTTTTTTTTTGAGACAAGTTCTCATTTTGTAGTTCAGGCTGGCCTTGAACTCCTTTGTAGCCCAAACTGATCTTGAACTCCTGGGGATCCTCTTGCCTCAGACTCCTGAGTGCTGGGACTATAGCCATGCGCTATCACCCCCAGTGTGAATATATTTTTAGTAGCTATTTTTTATTGAGATTGTGGGTAAGAAGCTTTGTTAATCTTTATGTGTGTTTTGTCTTTATTTTTTTGTAACTGTATTTTTCCTTCACTTTAATTTAGGCTTCTATGTTACCTGTAATTTTTCTTCAGAACCTTGGAGATATTGGTGTACTGTATTTTGTTATCTATTGTCCCTGATAAGAAGTCTTTATTCTAGAGGCCAGGGATATAGCTCAGCAGAAAATCACCTGCTTGGCAAGCAGAAGGTCCTGAGTTTGATTCCTGGCACCAAAAAAAAGAAGTCTGTAGTCTGATTGGTAGTCCTTTGTAGGTAATATCTGCACTTTCTAAATTCTTTTAAGACTTCTCTTCTTTAATGTTGCCTCACTGGCATTCCTTCTGTTCTCTTCTAGAACTCCTGCTAGATATATAATGGAGCTACTCAGTTGCTCTTCCATGTTAATTAGTTATTCTTTCATTTGAAGATAATTTGTAATTCATGTGCTCAGTCTGTGCTTAATGCCATCTATCCAAGCTTTCTTAGTTCATTCTATCTAATTGCTGTGTAATATTTCATTGCATGAATATATCAAAATGTTTATCCATTCCACTGTAGATAGAATTTGGGTTACTTCCAGTTTGAGGTAATGGGGAATTGTGTGCCTACGAATGTACCTTTTGGTGATCAGGTATGCACCATTTCACTGAATCATCACCAAGGAGAAGGACTGCTAAATTGTGTGTGATGTGTGGATGTTCAGTTGTACTGCCTCACTAGCAATGTACGTGAGAATTTCAGTTGCTTCACATTCTGGCCAATGTTAGTATTAAGTATCTTGTTCACTTTGGACAGTTTTGATGTGTGTATAGTGTGTTGCCTGGTGGTTTTAATTTGGATTTCCCTGATGAACAATGGAATTAAACACTTTTTCATATACTTATTCTCTGTGTTCATATTTTCTTTTCCTAGTGATATAAGGGAAATACTAGATGTCAGATATGCTGAGTTCGTGTTCCCTGAAGTAAAAAAAGTGAATTCTAAGGCACAACAGAGGTTAAAGGTAGGAAAATCTGTTGGAGAAAAGGAATGGAGGATAGGAATGAGGACTAGGAATGCCTCCTGAGAGACAGGAGGGGTCCCAAGTGGGCTTCCAACAAGCTCACTTCTCAAAGGAAGTTTTATAGAGCAAAATCATGAGGCAGGTACAATTTGGGTCAAAATTATGATCAATCAATAAGATTACAAGTATAGTCGCTTAGGTAATATTGATCCAATAGTAGCAAGGAAATATGGGTGATATCATTAACCTTGGTCAATAATTTGTAGTCTTGGCTTTAGTCTTAGAGGTCTTAGTGGGTAGGAGAGGATGGCCTGCCCCTAGTGAGATAATGGGAAATCTCAAAGAGGGTATACCAACAATCTCAAGCTTCTGTTTGTGCCTTAGTGAAGTATACAAATCTAGCCATCGTAACTTTAATCTTCCTCAACTGTGCCTTCAGCCACAGTCTCAATGCATTCCCATTTCTGCACTGACTTCCTCAAGGGCCCAGCCCTGTCATACTGCTTACAATATTTCCACCTAACTTAGCTGTCTATAATATTAGCACCTATTTTGGCCTTTGGCCCATATTTTTATTTGGTTTTGTCTTTTTCTTACTGAGATGTAGGAGTTCCTCATACCTTTCAGCTAAGAGTATATATATATAACATTTTCTACTTTATTCCATTTTATTATTTACTGTTCCATTCTCTTAAGGTTGTATGTTGCTGAAAAGAAAGTTCTCAATTTTTTTTTTTTTTTTTTTTTTTTTTTTTTTTTTTTTTTTTTTTTTGGTTTGTTTTTTTTTGTATTTTACTTAAACTTTGCTTCCTGTTTTTCTCTGGTACCGGGAACCGAACTCACGACCTTGTGCTTGCCAAGCAGGCGCTTTGCCGCTGAGCTAAATCCCCAGCCCCGAAAGTTCTCAATTTTAATTAACCTAAGTTTTCAATGTAGTCCAATTGCATTTTTTCTTTTTCTTGCTTTTTTTCCAGTGCTAGGGATTAACCCAGGGCCCTAAGCATATTAGGCAAGTGCTCTACCACTGAGCTACAGCACCATTTATTTTCTTGTTATTTTGACTTTTTTTTTTTTTTTTGTCTTTTTGAGACAGGGTCTCACTATGCAGTTCAGGCGGGGCTTGAGCTCACTTTGTAGCCCAGGCTGGTCTTGAACTCACAACTTACTTTGATATTCCTACCTCAACCTCCCAAGTACTACGATTACAGGCATGCGCCACCACACCCAGCTTCTTGTTATTTTGAGATAGGGTCTCACTTTGTAGTTTGGTCTGGCCTTGAATTCACTATGTAACAACCCAGGCTGGCCTACAATTCAAGGCAGTCCTCCTGCCTCAGCATCTCAAGTGCTGAGATTATAGATGTTCTCATTCTTTTTTTGTTGTTATTCTTTATTTTCTTTAATTTTTTTTCCTTTTTTTTATAGATTTTCTCATTCTTCACAGAAGCATTTAGTCTATTTTATTTTATTCCATGCTACCTACAAGAGGAAATATGACTATATACTTTTAACTTTCTATATTGTATCTAAAATAAAATATATATAGCTGGGTGTGGTGACACACACCTGTAATCCCAGCACTCTGGAGGCTGAGGCAGGAGGATCAAAGTAAATTTGAGGCCAGCCTGGACTACATAGTGAGTTCTAGGCCAGCCTGCACTATAAAATGAGACTGTGTCTCAAAAGCAAAAAAAAGATATATAACAAACTCTTTGGGAAAAGAAAGAAACTCTGAATCCTAGTTGTAAAACAAGGGGTGTCTTGGAAGCCACCACAGAATAGGTGATATTTCAGTTATGATTCTGGAGATAAAGAGGATTTTCCCAAGGAGCAAAGGATGGAGAAGAGCACTGGAATCAGAGACTGGCACTGAGGAAGGTGGGATATTTGAAGGAAGAAATATGTCAGAGAAATGCCAATGTATAGCATTCCTAAAGCTCACCTCAGTGAGAGAGAGACATAAACAGCCTGGCTACACTCAGGAGGCCTCTGGCTCTCTGAAAGCACAGAGAAAGTGTTGGCATGTTGATTCCTATGCCTTCCCCAGAGATACAGATTCGCTGGGTTCAGGCTTCCAGTCTCAGGAAAGGCTCACCAGGCTCAATCCCAGGAAAGCTCTCACCTTTAACCAGCCCCAACCCTACCACCCTACCCCCAGTCACACATTTAAGAAAAATTTCCTTGAGAATAGTTAATGATTTTTCAATAGGTCACTCATGTATAGCTCTATTTATTTTCCTTAGAAGCCACTTTGAAGATACCAAAGTATAGTACAACAACTATTGATAATCTCCTACCTCTTTTGTCTGTAACTCACTATTATTTGTCTATTTGTTTTCCTGAGAAACTATTTTGTAGACAATAATATGTAAAATGATAACCATTGATAATTTCCTACCATTTTGTCTGTAATTTGCTAAGTCCCCCCTATTATTATGTTATCCTTCTTTTATTCTTTAAAATAAAAAAAAAAATTTCCTAGAACTGGGCATGACAGTGCATGCTTGTAAGCCCTGCCCTCGTGGAGGCTGAGGCAGGAGGATAGCAAGTTTGAGCCCAGTCTGAGCAACTTGTCTCAAAATAAAAAATACAAAAAAGGGCTGGGTATATGTCTCAGTGTGAGGGCTCTTGGTTCAATCTCTAGTACTGGGGAAAAAAGGAAAGGAAGGAAAAGTTTCCCAGATAGAAGCGAGTCACACTTCTCATCAGGGAACATCACTTTTTCATTTTAATGTTATCAGCTCAAACATGTTGTGTTGGGACTACTTTCTACACAGTTTTTGTTTTACAAATCTCACTTCAGTTGATCGTGCTGTACTATTCTTCCTCCCCTCGTGACCTCTATGCTTGATTTTTGAGATATGAACCAACAGAGTAGCTGTTCTTTATTGAAAAGTGCAAAAAAAAAAAAAATCCTGCAAAAAAAAAAATCACACAGGAAGCTTAGAAGAGTTGAAAGAACTAAGAATTTTTAATACATTTCAAATACAAGCAGGCCTGAATTGCTGTGCACGGGGACATGGAGGGCTGACATGACACTCAGAATCAATAAGCATGCCTTCACACAGCTGGAGGACAGGTAGAGAAACAATATCCTGCGCTAGATAACTGTTTCTTCCTGCAGCAGCATCCCCTTTTGTACTAAGTTCAGTCCTCCTCCCAAACTCTCCAGCCTGTCCAGGTGTGAGATGCCCTGGGCCTCCTCGGGACTCTGGAAAAGGGGCAACATATGGCAGCTATGGCAGCTTGCTTCTTGAGACAGGCAGATGGCACCTAGAGAACAGCAAAAGCTGGGGTCAGGTGAGAGGAAAAGGGACAGTGAGAAGGAGAATGTCACAGGGCTCTGTGATGTAGAAGCAGGAGCTCCGTTCTCCAGTGTGAGTTCTCTGTTCTGGATCTACCCCCCAGGGTTCTCCCCTCCAACAGAGCATATTAGAGATAGAAAGAGAGACGGTCAAAGGACAAGAAGTACAAAGAGCTGCACTTGAAAACCAGAGGACTAGCCCCAGAGCTGAAAGCACATTAGCAACCATCTAACCTATTAATAAGTGAATGATCAAGCTTTACAGAGAAGAAGGCCCAACAGAAAACCCAGGCCTCTTGATGTCCAACTTATGACCCTTAGAAAAGTAAGAAAGGAAAAAGATCATCAATGTTTATAAGAACAAAAGGAAAAATATTGAGCAAAAAATAGATACTGCATCAAGATAAAAGACAACTTCTGTTTTCAACAGGCCAGTTACTCTCCCACTAAAAACAGTAAAAATTCTAAGTAAAATGTTTCATTAAAATGTTATGTTTAAATGTTTTACTGATGGCGCACGCCTGTAATCCCAGCACTCAGGAGGCTGAGGCAGGTGGATTGTTACAAGTTCGAGACCAGCCTGGGCTACAAAGTGAGTTCAAGGCTAGCCTGAACTGCATAGTGAGACCCTGTCTCAAAAAGACAAAAGAAAAAAAAGTTTCACTGAGCTGGCACCAAAGTAAAATATTCATAGAAGCCAAAACCAAAGTAAAAACAGGAATTTAGAGAGTTAGTAAACTCACCTTAGCCTTCACCCTGAAGATATAGACCCAATTCAGGCCACCCCAAGTTTCCATTCTGCTGGTCATTTGGGGCACAAAAAGTAGGAGAAAAACTCCATGGGCTGCTCAGGGTGGAAAATCTAATAATGAATCTGCTGTACTAAGTGGGCACCTCAAAGTCAGCTGCATTGGCTGAAAACTCATGAACATAGCTTAGCTGGAACATGGGTTTGCGATTAAATTCACAAAACCTAAAAATTTTGTTTGTGATACTCAAATCTTTGTGAACACAAGCATCAGGCACAATGCAACTGCGAATCCTTTTAGAGCAAACACTCTAAATCCAGGTCTCAAAGATTTTCCATGAATAAAATTCCAACAGAAATGAATTCACAATAGGAATACACACACACTCGCTCTCTCTCTCTCTCTCTCTCTCTCTTATATATATATATAAGGAAATAAGACACTACACCTTATATATATATATATATAAGACACTACATCTTATATATATATATCAGGAAAAAAGACACTACAAGAAAGAGCCTAGGGGCTGGGGATATAGCTCAGTGGCAAAAAACACCTGCCTGGCAAGTGCAAGATTCTGAGTTCAATTTCTGATGCCAAAAAAAAAGAGCCTTACAAAACAGTAGACTATAGACTCAAACTTGCTATAGCATCACAGGATTATATTTGGCATTAATTTTCCTCTCAGTGTTATATAAAATAATGGTATAAATTACAAACATGGATTCAATAAGACATGGCTAGTTCTTAAAATATATAGCTGGAAATGGGTACTCAGCTTATTTATAACTCTTTGTATCATAACTACATCATAATTTTTTATGTATTTGATACATTTAAAAAATGAAAAAATGTATATTTCATTTATTGATACATTTAAAAAATGAAAAAATGTATATTTCATTTATTTATATATATATATATATATATATATATATATATATGGGATTTTTTTGGTGCTGGGAATCAAACTCAGGACCTAGCACTTGCCAGGCAAGGACTTGTGCCACTGAGCTATATCCCCAGGCCCCCAGAATTTATATATTTGACATATTTAAAAGTTAAGTTACAATACAGTATGATCATAGCTCAAGTTAACAAAGGGGAGAAAGGATTAGGAGTTAGGACAAAATTAGGATTAAGAATCTAAATAAGTGACAAGGTATAGTGGGGCACACCTGTAATCCCCGCATTGGGGAGGCTGAGGCAGGAGGATGCTGTGAGTTCGAGGCCAGCTTGGGCTACAAAGTAAGTTTAAGGCCAGCCTGAACTACAGAGTGAGACCCTGTCTCAAAAAAACAAACAACAAAAAAAATCTAAATAAGTGAAAGTGTTTGAAGATAAAGGGCTGCAGTGAAGAACAAGATTATAGATTTCAAGATAAAGATAAAGACAGGAATGCAAACCAGTATGGTATAAAGGAGGGTGTAGACATTTGGAAGAGTTTGTTTCTAAAGTCAAACAAACTCTTCCTGCAGAGATGGAAATTTCTTTACCTACACCATCCAATGCAGTAGCCACTAGACACATGTGGCTGCTGAAAATCTGAAATATGGCTAATGTAATTGAAGAACTTAATTTTTAACTTTATTTCATTTTAATTAATTAAAATTAAATAGCCATGTGTAACTAGTGGCTACAGTCTGGAACAGCATAGCTCTAGAATCCTCCCTGGAGAGGCTTCTAACTGTGGACCGAGGCCAGGGAGAGGGGCAGCAGCTGCGGGACACTCACCAGCCAGTAGGAACAGAAGGACGCCGACGCCCAGCATGTAGTACGGCCACTGCACGGAGAACTGTGGGGCGCTGGGCTTCATTCTCAGATCCCGGATCTCCAAGGCATGCAGCAACAAGGCCAGGGAGGCACAGGTTCCTGGAGGTGCACAGGGAGGTACCCTTGCTCTCCGCCCAGGTTCCTGCCTTGGTTCCAGCCTCTCTCTCACTGAATTAGACAGCGGTGTGTCCCCTGCTTGGAAGTTCCTTCTCTGCCTTCACCCTTTGCCCTTGCAGAGCCAACAGCCTCCCACAGCACTCCACTTGCCTGTCTCTCCTTCCTTGCCAGCCCATCTCAAAGCCATGTGCCTCAACACTTAGGGGCCCCATCATCAGAAATCCCTTTGCTGGCACCCTCTGTATCTGTGCACTTGGCTCAATTCAGGTTGAGTGCTCCGGGTGTAACAGTGTGGATGAAACTCCACCCGGTTTTCCCACTGCATATCTTCCACCTCCTCCACTGGGCTGGGCACTTGCCAGGGTGGGGCATCCTTTTAAAATGCCAAAAGGCTCCAATGGTCCCAAATAGTCTTGCATTCATTCATTTAAGAAACATTTATTTCTTTGGGCCTCGTGGCACATGCTGAAATCTCAGCACTCAGGAGGCTGAGGCAGAATCACTGAGAGTTTGAGGTCAGCCTGGGCCACCTAGTGAGTTCCAAGCTAGCCTAAACTACACAGCAAGACCCTGCCTCAAAGAAAGAGAATGAAAGAAGGAAAGAAGGAAAGAAGCAAAGAAGCAAAGAAGGAAGGAAAGAAAGAAAGAAAGAAAGAAAGAAAGAAAGAAAGAAAGAAAGAAAAGAAAGAAAGAAGAAGGAGGGAAGGAAGGAAGGAAGAAGAGAGGGAGGGAGGAGAGAGAAAGAGAAAGAAAAAAAAGAAAAAGAAAGAAAGAAACATTTCCTTTGTATGATATATTTTAATTATAATTCTTTGCAAGATTTTATGACAGTCACAGGGATGGAGAAGTGACCACTTATACATATGACCTCAAATCCACAAGGTGAGATCTGGAAATGTGGAGTAATGAGAAGCCCCAAAAAAGAGGCATCATAAATTCTGACAGAATAGATGTGGCAGTAGATTGCTTCATAAAGAAGGCAAAGAAGGGGACCTTAAAAATCATGCTTCTTGCCACACATGATGGCACATGGCCATAATCCCAATGACTGAGGAAGGAGGTGAAGGCAGGAGAACCACAAGTTCAAGGCCAGCCTAGGCAACTTAGCAAAATCCTGTCTCAAAGTAAGAAGGGCTGGAAATGCAGCCCAGTGATAGTGCACTTGAGGTATTTGACCCACCCATGCTGAAAAAAAATTATGCTTCTGTTGACATCACAGAAACCAACTGCCCACTTCTTTTGTCCCACTCCACACCTGTGAGGAAGCTGGTGAAGGCTGACAGGACATTGGGCCTCCGGATCCTCCAGAAGAGGTCAGATGCAAAGGACACCATGAAGAAGGTGGTAAGGAAAGCCAAGACAACTGCAGAGAGTAGGAAGATCCGGCCGAGGAAGATGTAAACTGCAGGAGAGGGAGAGCGCGGGCTGGAGCTGTGGACCCTGCCCCTCGAGGGAAGGACCCCACAGTGCCTGGCACAGATGGCCTTGGAGTCTCGACCACCCTTGGGTCTCTAAGCATGGCCTTGGGACCAGTGCTGTGAGCCTGCTACTTTGCCTTGAAAAATGCTGTAGCCTTACCATTTTTGTTTCCAATAACATGGAAAATAGTGAAAAACAAACTTGACTGACAATGTTAGACACTGAAATCATTCATCAGTTCTTTACAAACATTATTACGTGAATCTGGCTATAACAGTCATGGCAGGGAAACAGTGTCTTGTGTATTTGGGGAAAATGGTAGCTTTAATAAACAACACGAAATAAAACTCTCCTAATAAAAGTCATCACATGTGTGAGTGTGAAGACTCACAGCTGTGCTGATTATGGTAAAGTGATTCACCATGGAAAATCTGAACTCCATGAGGTCAAAATATTCTGAATTTTGCAGGAACCCCCTCTCCTATTTAATTTTGCTGGTTAACACGATAAGAGAAACATCAAAAATAGCAGAGCCAGAGTCTGGGAATAGGGTGATTTATTCTGCTATCAGTGTGATTCAGATCATATTAACACTACTTTGCCAGAGATATACATCTGGAGGTAGTACAAACGGCAGGTGTTGCTGAAGTCCCAGACATTCCAGAGTCTCCGCTTGGGTTAAATTGGTGGTGCTCAACTGGGGACAGCCTTTGTCCCTCAAGTATTTAATAATGCCTGGAGACATTTTGGCTTTCCTAGGTGGTGAGAAGTGGGTGATGTTACCAGCATCTAAGGGGTAGTTCAATCTCCAGCACCAAAAAAGAAAAGAAAAGAAAAATTCTTTGTAAACCTGATCTTAAGAGACTGGTCTTGGTGGCACATGCCCTTAATCCCAGCACGTGGGAGGCTGAGGCAGGAGGACTGCCATGAGTTTGAGGCCAGCCTGGACAACATAGTTCAAGGTCAGCCTGAACTGCCAGCAAGACCTTGCCTAAAAATAAAAATTTTTTTAAAAAAATGACCTTGAGAGCCTTCACAGCCTGCTGAACTGATACAGCTGTGTCCATTCCCTCTCAAATTTGGTCCCCCTATGTATCGTTTTTGTTGTTTTTGTGTTGTTTTGATTTTGTCTTCATTGTTGTTTTGTTAGTTTTTTAATCTTTAAAATAAAAAAATAATAAAAATATATGGCCCCAGACCTGAGCACATTATCTTCAGGGCAGAAGAGGCCAAAATCCAGCCTTATGCTCTGCCAGCCAGGGTCCTCCCTGTGCCCACCCATGAGAGTGCTGTGTGTGCAAACCAATGGCAGCCCCGGGAGCAGAGCAGGAATCTCTGTTGTCCCACCTGCAGCACTCCAGGCCTAGAAATAAGCTTTGCTCCTGGCGTATCTGTCTCTACTCCAGTGATGAACTTGACATTGTTAGCCCCTTCCCAGCATCCCACTTTCCTCTCACCCCAAGAGAGTGCAGACTCTGAGAAGACGTCCTTATGGGCTTATTAAACTGTGTCCTCTGCCCCCAGCCTGCCCAGTCACCCGCATTGGCCCCATCTCCCCTTCCCCCATCCTCGCACGCGGCCCTCCTTACTGGATAAGGGTCGAGGCTTCGAGCATTTGATATGGAAACAGTTCTCAAACAGGCCACTGAAAAACACTTCATGGGACTCCTCATCCACCAGACGTACCCAGAAGGGAAAGATGGAGACCACCAGTATGAACAGGTAGCCCAGGGAGGCCAAGGCCGGGGCAATGGCCCAGGTGAATCTCTTCATGGCTTTGTCCTCAAAAGTCAGCATCACCTGCGCAAAGGAAAAGTGATGGCAGAGGCGGGACATCTCCACATTCTCCTGTGGCACAGGGTAAAGGAGGCAATTCCTGTGGAACTGCGGGTAGTGGGTATAGCACACAGGTAATGCTCTGTCAATGGGAATTTCTTTCTCCTGATTAACTGTACAGCATGCAACACTCTGCAGCTGACCTAAAATGTGCATGAAATATCTACTGCTGACTCACTAGACAGCCTTGAGCATAGCAAGTGCCCTCTCTCTGCACCAATTTCATCCTATAGCAAAACGAGGTCAGCCCTGCCTCCTCAAGCCCTCTTCGGTTCTACAGCACTGATCTTTCCATTCTGCTGATACTCACCCCACTGCAAGCCAGACATCTCCACCAGCCTCTTCTGTGTCAGTTGTTTGTCTTTTGAGCACAGACTGAGGACTCGCGGTGGCGGGGCGGGCTGGGTGACAACTAGCCTCAAGTGCCTGACTCAGTGACAGCCTTCTGGCAACAAGAACCCAGGGTTCAGATGGGAGAGGCCCATCTGGTCAGAAAGAGCCATTTGCTGAAAAATGAGCAGGTCCCATGCACACAGAAAGGTTTGCTTTTAGTTTTGCTGCTCCATGGAGCCTCCTGAAGACCCTCTAGAGCCCCTGGAGGTCAAGGCCCTCCGCTAAGGAGCCCTCTTCCATACAGTCCCCCACCTCAACTTGTTTTCTCTTTCACTACACTTGTCACTAAGATGTCTTCTGAAAGAGCAGCTGGGCTGTGCTAAGTAAGTGCTGGGTGGTCTTGGCTTCAGGAGCCCTCAGTCATTATCTCAGCTTTGCCACTTCCTAGCTGTGCCATTTAGAGAATTTACTCAAAAACTCTCTGAACCTTGATTTCCCCATTTGGAAAAGGGAGACTAGAACAACTACCCAAAAGGGCCACTGAGTAGACCAAGTATAGTAACATATATTGAAGCATCAAACTCTGCTCTGTGCCCAAGTGCTTCGTTAAAGTTGGGGGGCAGGGGCAGGGATGGAAGGTGACTTCTCAAATTCAAAACTCCCTGTGGGAGAAAGAGCTGATAGCCATTCACAACTTCAGGGCACAACTCGAGCACATTTCCCGTGTTCCCTTCTGTCTTTGCTAAGCCTGGGAGCCCTAAGATTTCCTCTAATTCTCCTGAAGTAATGAAACAAAAGCAAGGGAAGGAAAAGAGAAGCTAGAAGCCTGGCATGCTGCAGGAAGAGCAGGGCCGGTCAGGATGCACCAGGGGCACTGTGATGAGCCTGGCTATTGGGCGGGGGCATTAGGAGAAATAAAGATGAAAGATGTAGCAAGGTAAGTGAGGGCCGCACCAAGAGTCCTTCCCAGCCACACCCAAAGCTGGGTCTGGACAGCGCTTCTAACCAGGGCTCTATGTGGCAGCACCAGTTTTCAAACTGCATAGTGAGTACAGAAGACAAGGCCGTGGGAGAGAGGGTGCTTTTCTCCCCTCTCCGGCACACTGTGCAAGCACTCATGCCCAGTGCAGGCCCTGGGGCACCACTACGGTCCTGCGGTGGACCCTTGCTGCACCCAGGGAAGGGAGCATCTCGGACAACTGCTGATCCCTGCAGTCCAGCAATCCTGATAGTCCAGGAGAGAGGTGCAGATCCTTCCCAGCACTCTGACACCAAATATGCTGATCACCATAAGTGGAACTGGAAACATTCTGATGTACTTTCTTTCTGTCACTCACTCTTTTTCTCTTCTTCCCATCTGAGGAACTGTATCCTCCCCTCTCTAAATCCTTCCTAACTGTATCCTCCCTCTCTAAATCCTTCCTTTGACCTCCCATCCCCTCTTCAGGCCAGACCGACACATCAATCTCAGACCCTCATCTTCCTTTGCTCTACCATAATGAAGTGGGTTGGACCAGATTTACAAGTCTTAATTCTAAAATTCAAAGCAAAGAGCAGAGCTGCATCTTGTCTCCTGGATTCCAGATGGGTGCATAGGCTGGGCATCTCATTTGACAGGTATACTCCCCGCTTCCTGTATACTCCCCACTCTCAGCCTTTCTAGACGGGACCTCGGTTCTTTCCTGTTTCCATCACCCTCCCACGCTGACTCCAGCCTTGAGCTTATGCTGCTTTCTCCCTTCCCTCCACGCTTCCATCTCACTGGCCTTCCTCACCCATGAAGTTTCCTTTCATGAAGTTCTCATAGCATCCATCCTCCCCGTCCCCATAGTTACATGCCTCCTTCCACACACAGAAATCACAGTCAGTTCACACCAGCCTCCAAGCCTGGAAGCCTCCCAGGATGCCTTCTCCGTTCCCCTAAGCCAGTGATGGCAAACCTTTTAGACCTTTCAATGATAACAAACAGACCACTGCAGCCTGCGTACCATAGGTTCGTCACCACTGCCCCAAGCCTTTCACATCCTACTTCCCCTGAAGAGCTTGGTCTGACCACTCCATGTAGCCATCCCAGACAACAGCCCTCATCCATTCCCTCAACAAAAATGAACTATGCAACTAAAGACCATATTCATAAGTGAAATAAATAGGACCCACATGTGTAAACATCATATTGTCTCCCTAGTGTAAGAACATGAAAAAGTAAATAAAACCTGAAATGTACACTAGATGATATGAAAGGGAAAGAAATTACTTAAAGGAAGGAACAACTGGGATGAGGGAAAAAAGAAAAAGAAATAAAGTACTAAGGCAATATACATATATATATATATATGTGTGGGATAACTGTACTGCTGATGTCTGATGGTTTATTGAAAGGAACAGTTAATGCTTAATTTTTTTATATATATTTTGACCAGTTTTGCATGCTTATATTTGGTAATCTGAGCAACTGGTGTGAAGACAACAATATGCAATATAATAACCATTGGTGAATTCCTACCATCCTGTCTAGTGAAATTCTGTATTGTCTCTAATATTTTTTTAAATTATTATTTTCTTATTCTCTTTAATAGTTTGATCAGTCTTCCATTCTTACATCTGGTAATCTGAGCAACTTCGTTGAAGATAACAATATGTAATATAACAATCACTGTTAATCCCTATCATTTGGTTTGAAACCCCATATCATTTTTAATGTCCTCACTCTGTTTTGTTTGTATTTTGCTATTGTTCTTTTTTTTTCTATTCTCTTTAAAATAAAAAATAAAATAAAATATATAAAGAATCAAAAAAAAAAAAATGAACTATGCACTAACTGGCTATCCCGCAACAGCATGGGCCAACAGGGGGGATTCAGGGGTGAAGCCAGACGGGACTCAGAGGCTCTTAGTAAATACTGAGGGGAGACACACAGAAATGCATCACATGGAACAGAACTAACTCCTCATCTCCCCTCGAGTTAGCCCTGTGTGCCCCATCTCAGCCTGTCCACTCTCCCGTGATGAGGACTTTGTCCTCTTCCCCAGGCATCAGGACTCACATGAAGCAGCCCTTAGCAGTACTATTAGACAATTGCACTTCCAAGGACATGCAGTTTAGGACATACACTGATACAGACCAGCCTGGAGGAGCATGGCCACTTCAGTCTTAAAGGGAGAGCCAGAGAGAGGGACTGACTGACGGAGAACCCCACAGTCCGTGCAGCACAGAGTCCAGGATCTTGCATCATTGCCCCACCCACCTCACCAGCTGCCACCAGTTCACAGATTCCCAAATTTAGGGGGCCAGTGATTGCTTTTGTTTCTTGGTATTTTTGGTGTTTTTGGTGTTTGTTTCACCAGAAATGGAATCCAGGACTCAAGCAAGCTAGGCAAACGCTGTTGCTAGCTTTTTTGAAATATTGTTTTCAAAATGACCTGTGACTCCAAAGTAGAAGTGTGAACACTCAGTGGTGCCGGCTCAGCATCTAGGGGTGACTGGCCTGACTGAAGTCCCCTCAATTCAGGCGCTACAGGGTCTGAACTAAAGCCTGGCACCTCCCTGGGACAATAACAAGAGGCCAGGTCTAAATCCCATCGGGGCTGGACTGGGGAAGGGGCCAGAGAAGGCAGCTTCCTGGCGGCGGGGACGGCTCACTCTCCACTGTTTCCACCCCTAACTTGTGGGCACCTGGGCTGCAAACTGACCAAGGCGTAGACAGACGTTCCTTCCTGCTAACAACACCCCGGCCCTGTCCTCGGAATGTCAAGGCTTTGCCTCCCCATGGCCCCAAAGCCACAGGGACATTTTGCTGGTCTGCGTGTCCCCTGTCCTCTGGGACAGTCAGGGCTGCCTGATTTGGGCCTGTGGGTGAGGACTGGGGAGGGGGCTTCATGCATTCCACTCTCCCACCCTCAGGGACATTTCGCCTCTCACCTCAGCACCGCCCCGGGGTCTCCCGTCCCATCCCGTGCCAGGGAAAGGCTTCCCTAGGGGAAAAGAGTTTGCCCCTGGCCTCTGATCCACCTCTGGGTCGTGGTTCCTTCCCCGGGCTTCTGTTGGGCCTCCCTCAGAGCCTGCCCAGCACGCTCTGGGCGTCTGCCTCCTGTTGGCCGACCCCCGCACCCCGACCGCGTGTGGGCGCCCCAGCCCGGCTCCACCTAGCACCTCACCTGCCCTGGGTCGCAACTCACATCCGCACGTTGGTTCGCCATATTGGCCTCGCTCACAGACCGGTAGGAGTTGGAGTTAGAGCTGGTGGGGTCTGAATTCGAATTCCAGCTCTGCCATCATCCTGCAGGATTATTTTGGGTAAGTCACTTCTTCCTGGGTCCTAGTTTTCTCATTTATAAACTGCAACTAGCAACACCCCGTAAACCTGTTGGATTGTTGAAAGGGGCCCCGCGATGTGCCTGGAAAGGACCCGCAGCAGACACCGCACTAAATAACAGGTATACCTAGAGGGAAAGGAAGGCAAGACCTCGGACTCCCATCCCTCAGATCCCCTGCAGAAGACCATCCCATTCTCACATTCTGCTCTCCTTCTGCTCTCTCAGAACTCTGTCTGCCCAACTCACCAGTGTCAGCGACACCCCCCACCCCACCCAGGCCACTGCTAACCTGGGGAAAACTCAGAAGAAATGGACACCGGCTGGAGGAAGACACTTCCAGCCTGGAGTGGGGGTGGGGTGGCTGATTCTAGTGGCAATAGCAGCCACACTGGGCTGGATAAATCACCGGCCCCCCTCTCCTGACTCCATACTCACTAAGGAAATGTATTTATTACTCAATTTTTCAAAAGCTAAAGCCATGGCTGGCACCTCCTTCCACTTCCTCACAAACCAGCTCATATTCTAAGAGCACAGAAATGAATGAAAGCCCGTGGATGACTGATTTATTGAATGGTCCATCAAGCCCGAAGTACATGACAGGACTCTGCCAAAAGGCTCACAGTCCATGGCTGGGGCTGGGTTGAGCAGAGATAATGCTGGACAAAGAAGACAGTAACGCCAAGAAGGTCCTTGAACTCCCCTCTTCCCTGATCCCACAAAGAGAGCATGGATCTCACCAAATGATTGGGAAAATAGCCATCAACAGCATCCAGACACATCCTCAGGTCACCCAAGGGCACTGGTGGTGGACCTTTTAGAGCTTTCAATGATGCACACAGCCCACTCTGGGTTCACCGCCACTGCCCTAGGGGAAATGTTTTCCTCATCCTTACTTAGTTCAGAGATTCCCAGTGGAGTATTCTGATTAGCCCTCCTGGGGTCAAAGGACCATTCCACTCGGGCCAAAAGAATTGAAGTATGACCACCAGCTCAGCCTGAGCCAACCACACCCCACAGTGACCAGCAGTTGGGGGTCATCTAAAAAGCTAGCCACTTCTCCAGCAGAGTAAAAATTTCTTGAGGAAAAAAGGATGGTATTCTTCAAAGATGGGCATTGTGGCAGAACATGACATCATTTTCACATGCACTATCTTGCACAACACTTTCAAAAGTTATCACACATCAATTTTGGAAGATATGCATTATTATCCGTATATACAGATGAAGAAACTGAGTCTCAGGTTAAGAATTTGCCCAAAGAATTATTTATGGTTACAAAAACGCTAGGCTGCAGAGGAACAGGCTCTGCACAGCATGCTACATCTATTAAGCTTACAAATTGCTTACAAACAAAAGGAATATTTCACATAACGGCAGCTCTAACAATCACTACCTTAAACAAGTACCACAATTGATATTCAGTTTGGAATAATCTGAGAGTATGTGCCTCTTGACAGATCGAAGTACAAAGGTAATATTACTTGTGGCATTCTTGCCAGAAATGTTTAATCAAGTCTCTAAAACTCATTCTGACTTAGAGGAAGTACTAGGGTGAGAAGGAAGTTAAACACCACCACAGGGAAACAGAAATGAATTTTGTAGAATCGTTCTGTTTTTTAAAGGGTAGAACAACCAGGCATGGTGGTGCATGGCTCACACACCTGTAATCCCAGCACTCTGGGATGCTGAAACCAGAGGATGGAAAGGTTGAGCCAAGCCTGGGCAATTCAGTAGCTTAGTGAGATCCTGTCTGAAAATAAAAAATAAAAAAGGATTGGAGATGTAGCTTAGTGGAAAGGCCCTGGGTTCAATCCCATTTCCAAAAACATAAAAAAATTAGAAAGGTGAAAGAACTGTTCTAGATTAAACAAAACTAAAGAGATATAAAACCAGTGTAATCTATGGCTCTTATTTTATTCCAATTTTATTTTAGTTTTTTTTTTTTGGTACCAGGAATCAAACTCATGACCTCGTACTTGCCAGGCAGGTGCTGTGCCGCTGAGCTGCATCCCAGGCCCTCTGATTTTAAATAAAATAGCTACAAAACACATCTTTGAGGCAAAAGAAAATCATAATATAGACTGCATTTTAGCTATTATTATGGAATTATAGTCTTATTCTTAGGTATGTTAATAATATTGTGATTATATAAGAGAATAACCTTACTCTTAGGGGAAGCCTGTCATATTATTTTGGGGTAAAGTTTACATCTATCTTTGAAGTGACTGAGAAAAGGTGGACAGAAAGCAAATATGGAAAAATGTTAAACATTATTACTCTGAGTGTAGAGTATAGAGGTTGTTGGTTATACTATTCTTTCAACTGTTCTGTGTATTGAAATTCTTCAGATAAAACTGGAAAAAATAGAAATAATGAACTCAAGTTTATCATTAGTGACTCAGTCACTCAATATCTGAGTGTTTTTTCTAATGTACACAAGGCAAGCATAGTGTGCAATGAGAATTACTAAATGAGATCGATTCAGTCTAAAGAGGAGCTATTCAGAGAGTCTCCTGTCCTCAAAGGGGACTGCATCAACAAAGACTTAGTGGAAGAGATTTACATGTGTTTCTCAAAGATTTCCACCTACTTCTATGGCAAAAAAACAAAAACAAAAACACTGCACATTGCACAAACACATACTTGGAACAAAAGTTTCACTTACATTTATTATGTGCAGTACATAGAGATGTTCTCTATTCCATTCTAGTCTTGCTTATATTTTTCTTTTGCTCTTTTTTTGTTTTGCTTTTAATGCTGGGTTCAATTCACCACAAGTTTTGTGACCCACTAGCTACTTCTACCTACACTTAAAATTATTGCCTTCCAGGACACAGTGAAATTCAGAGAAAGGGGACACAAGAAGATTTGAGAAGTCAGTGCTCAGGGCCAGAATGGGAGGGACCTTGTAGGGTTTCATCCTGAGGACTGTGAGGGGCCTCTGATGGGATTAAAGCACTCACATCTGAGTGAGTGCCAGCATTCCCCCTCCTTCTGTCTTCTCCTTTACCCAAAGACTCTGCTTCAACTCAGAGCATAAAGAGTGCCCCCCACCCAAAGGGGCCCAGCGCTGTGTATAAGTTGTGACCAGAGGCTGCAGGGCCAGCCCATTCTAGAACTGGACTTTTAAAGTGTGTGCACAATGTTAAGTCATATCATCCTCTGAAAGCCTTTTCCTATTTTTCCAGGTCTGGGGAGAGCTGCAATGGGACCCTATGAGCTGGGGCTGGACGTGTAGAGTTTTGATTTTCCCCAGGACCTCAACTTCCAAAGGAAAAACTATCGTTGCCCAAACCGTAGTTTTACTGAGTAACGTTGGGAAATGAGTAGGCTCCCTTGAGTCCTAGATTACTGCCCTCAGGCAATCTATTTAATAGCCACAGCCTAAGAAACCCTCTCTTTCCTTCCCTGTAGGCACCTCATCCTCTAAACTCTCACCCTAGGCCTCACGATTAAGCTACTAGATTCTACTTGTTTCTTTGTGTCCTCTCAGCACCTAGAGAGCATTAATGTCTTCTATTATATTGATTCTCAGCCTTCGTTGCACATTAGAAACAACTTATAAAACCCCAGAGTCAGCCAGGTATGGTGGCACACACTTGTAATCCCAGCTACTCAGGATGCTGAGGCAGGAGGATTGCAAATTTGAGAGTGACTCTGTCTCAGAAAAAAAATTTAAGGGCCCCCTGGGTTCAATACCAGTAACGTACACACAGAGACAGACAGACAGCAGACACACACACACACACACACACACACACACACACACACACGCACAGCAAAAACAACATCAAGGCTGTAACCTACATCAACCACGTAGCATTTCTTAAGATTAGTGCTCTTAAAATTCCCTAGGTGATTCTAATATGCAACTTAACTTGGGAATTCCTGCTATTGTTTCTTGTTGCAGCTAGAAGCCATGAGGAGGAGAGAGGTGGGTGCTTAGGTGACCATTATCCTGATGTGCCTAGAATGGAGTTGAGAAATCACTGAAAACTGGGATGAATTTGTTGCCCTCATACTCACCTGACTAGATTACCAAGCTTTTGCTGTTACCAAACTTTTTCCTTGACTGGGCTAAGGGATGCCCAGATATCCAGTAAAACATCATTTCTAGAAACATTATTTCTGGACATGTGCATGTCTGGAACAGATCAGCATTTAAATTGGTGGGTTCAGTAAAGAAGATCTGCCCTCACTAATGCAGAAGAGCATCATCCAATGCCTCAAAGGTCTTAGTAGAACAAAGAGGTGAAAGAAGGGGAAATGTGCTCTCTGCTTGAGCCGGGACATCCATCTTCTCCTGCCTTTGACATTAGCACTCCTGTTCTTCAGGTCTTTATACCAGTGGCTCCCTGGTTCTCTGGCCTTAACATTTGGACTGGGCTATACTACCTACTTCCCTGGGCCTCCAGCCTGCAGACAACAGATTTTTGGTTTCTGTCTCTCTAATCACATGAGCCAAACACTTACAATAAATTTCTCTATACTTCTATCTATACCCTATTGATTGTTTCTCTGGGGACTCCCATTGCAGATAGTTCCACATGTGTATCAGTAGGGTTCAATCACAGAAGCAGAGCCACAGGAAAAACACACACATTAAAGAGATCTGTTGCGGGAAACTGGTTTTACACAATGGCGGGAGCTAGTTAAGCAATAGCTACAAGGCTGAAGTCTCTGTTTGATGCTGAAGACTAAAGCCTACAGGAAAAAAAAATAGAATAGGCTGGGCTAGGCTAGGCTAGGCTAGGCTAGGCTAGGCTAGGCTAGGCTAGGCTAGGCTAGGCTAAGCTAGGATAGGATAGGATAGTATAGGATAAGATAAGATAAAATAGAAAAATAAAATCTACAGAGTGAACAGAAAGGAAGAGACAATCACAAGCAGCCTGGAACCCCCAGTATGAGATGGAACCTCATGAGGAATGAAACCAAGTCAGTTGTTTTTGTCTCTGATATGTGAAAATAAGGGTATCCTGCAGAACTTGAGGTCCTCCATCAGAGCTAAGCTCACATGCTAACATATCTGGCCCAGTAAAGGCAAGGGAGAATCAGAGGAAGGTAGAGCAATTGCAGCCCAGTCTCTGCTTCAAGACAACAAGATATGCAAATCAGCAGCAACATGTACAAGCTACAAAAT